GGGGCAGGGGGCCGGGGGAGCCTCTGCCAGCCAGTGGCGGGGGGTAAAGGAGACAGCTGCCTGGGAGCCTGGTGATTTGAAAAGGCCTGAGGCTCCAGCCGCAGTAACAGCACCTGGAGCCCTGGGCACTTTGAATTGTCTCTGCGTGCCGGGCAGCGCTGAAGGGCCGGCTGGGGGAGGCTAGTCCCTGTCCTTGCCCCTTCTGCCCAACACTACCCCTTCCAGGGGCCTGGAGCTGTACCCTCTCCCTCCCGCGCGCACGCGCGTGCACACACACACACACACACACACATACACACACACACACACACACACACCTTGCCCAGGGCCCAGTGAAGTCTGTTGGCCACCCTACCCTGCGAGCTGCCCCCACACTGATTCTGCAGCTGGACATGCTGCTGCTTCCAGGAACGGCCTGAGGTAAGTGCCGCCCGGCCAGAGCCTGCACCCAGGGACGGCCCGTCCATATAGGCGAACTAGGCAGTCGCCTAGGGTGCCAAGTTAAATGGGGCGCAGTATCATTGAGGGGTTTGGAGGTGGGGGAGCCTATTGCATGGTTCACCTAGGGAGCCAGTTGCTGGCAGCTAGTCTAGGGCCGCCCCTGCCCGCACCCCCTCTGAGTCTGAGCCTCCTCCCGCACCTAAACTCCCTTCCATAGCCAGGACCCTAAACCTCCTCCTGCACCCTAACCCCTTATCCCAGGCTGAGCCCAGAGACCCTTCCATTCCCACAGCCCCCCCCCCTTCTGCGCCCCACTCCGTCCCAGCCCAGTGAAACTGCATGAGAGTGGGGCAGAGTGAGGGGGGCAGCAGGTTGGGATGAGACAGTAGGACAACGACTTTCTCTGGCTGTGGGGCTGCCCACGTTATGAGAGAGAGCTTGGCACAGGCAGTGAGGAGCAGTTAGGATCCAGGGCCTGAGCGTGGCGTTCTCAGGTGACTGGGCCTCCTCCACGGGCGTTTATGACACACTCAGGTGCCCTGGCAGCGGGGGTGCCCGGGAGGCAGTGAGCTTGGTTGGAGACCCTGCACAAGAGGCTGCCAACCCCCCCACCAGGACATTCAGCATTTGTTCCTGGGAGGGCTTCCCTCTTTGACTTGCTCACAGCCAGCTCTTCCATCCACCCTGCAGGCTGGAACCATCTTCTCCCCTGCCCTGAGTGAGGGGCTCCCTGCTCCATAGTGTGGATGGACCCTTGTCTAGAAGTGCCGGTTTTCCCGTTTTGCGGGGGGGGGGGGTGAGGGGGGCTTGCTTGGGAGGCAAAGCAAGAGCAGGTGCAGGGAGGCATCCCAGATATTCCCTAGAATCTCAGCTGCTGTTTAAAAAGTCCAGTCTCCTGCTGTTAGAGGAAACTCACCCAAGAGACAAGTGGGGAGCCTGAGACAATGGGAAAGTGTCCTGGGGATTGGGGTGGGGAGGGGCTCTGACTTTCCATAGCTGGGAGAGGTGTGAATTGCTCTGTCATCCCTTTGCGGGCTCACCCAGAGCCAGGCCAGTGCTGGCACTTGGAGTAGCAGTGCCCTGAACTATTTCAGTGCTTGTGAAAGTTTGGAGCCACCATGGGGCCAGACCCAGAACGGCAGGGTGCCTTGCGCCTTATCAGCTCTCTTGTCTACAGGCCCCATGTCGAAGCACTTCACTCCATGTTCTCAGCTGTCCGTTTTTAGGAGAACACAGTTGTTGGGTCTGTTGCAGAGAACAGCACAGAACTGGAGCTCTGGCGACTGGTGCCCTGGTGACCAGCAGACCCCGCTCAGACTGGTCCTGGCCTGCTGAAGGACAGTGGGCTGCAGAGGAGAGACCTCCTGGTTCCAGCCAGGAGAGAACAATGGACCAAGGAGGGGAGAAGCGGAGAAGAGAGGGACCCAGGCGACCCTGTCTACGTGGAGAGAAGAGAAGACAGTGGACAGGGGAGGGGCTGTTGCTGGGGATATTGGAGGCTCTGCTGGAAGATGGGGGCTTCGGATCTGGACAGAGAGCAGAGCCTGCCGGGCTCCCCTCGCTGCAGGGGAGACTGAGACGTGCTGGGCAGAGGGAGGCCAGGCCTGAGATATCCTTTGCTGCGTTCAAAGCTCAATAAACCCTCCTGTTCTGTGGTGGCTGAGAGTTGCTCTGGTCTGGAGAACAGGGTTGCACTAGTCCCTCGGAGGGTGGAGGCCTCAGGGTGCAGAGGGAGTGGACCCCCCGGAGGCGCTCATGGCGGAGGCAGACATGTTGAAGGCCTTGAGAGGTGCCGTCCCGAAGGCGGAGGGGCGGACCCCCCCGGTGGGAGTGGACACCCCAAGAGAGCGTAGTTGCACTGGAGTGGACCCTCTGAGAAAGGGCTGTCACACTGCCACTGTACTGGAGTGGGGGAGGGGGGGGGGGGGGTTCCGCCCTGGGACTGACAGGCCAAGTGTGGGCACGACCTGTGAGCCGTGACAACGTGGTAGCAGAGGATGGTTTGAGGTGCACCTTGTAGACCATTGGCTGTGGGTGCAGGTGCTTTGCAGAGTGAGTGCCAGCGACAAATGAGGGTGTTGAGGGAACCAGCGGAGAAATGGCCTATGCCCAGCTCCGTAAGAGCGACCTGGCACGTCTGCAGGGCCAGGGGGCTGAGTGTGGGGAGGCTCACTCAGAAGCAGCTAATAGCTCAGCTTATGGAGAATGACCAGTTGGCGCTACAGGTTCTGGGTCCCAGCAGAGCTCCCGGGATGCCCAGAGGGCCATGGAGTCGCCAGTGGGGGCAGTCAGTATAGCGGCCTGGAGTCTGTCAGAGCTGACTCACCAGTCTGCACAGGGGAGCCCCAATCCGGGTTCTGTCCAGCAGAGCTGAGGAGGCTGGAGCTGAATGTGAAGCAGCTGGAGCTGGAGGCGCAGAGACTGTGTCCAACAGTGGAAGCACGAGCTGGAGCTGCAGGAGAGATGGGCCAGGAGGTCCTGTCCGGGGGTACGCTGGGAAGGACCCTGGGATGCAGTGCTGGCAGGAAGCTGGACTCCAAGCTGCTACCCCGTTTAGAGAGATGACATGGCTGCCTACCTCCTGTCCGAGACAGAACATCAGA